TTTTCTAATTAAATAGCGGCGGGCCAAGCGTCGGCTTCTTGTTCGCTCTGCGGTTCTGGGCAATCATTACCATTGATTTCACCGCTACGCAATTATTAGCAATGATTTCATGGAGACGACGTGACACTTATCCACGTCAGCGCTTGCTCCCAACCATTGAATCTTTCACGATTTGAACCAATGGTCAAGATTGCACCAGACGAAAGTGGTGATTGTGGGATCGAGTCTGCGATTGGATGGAAGCTGCGAAACAGCAAAATTATAGTCGTTGATCGCAGGATCAACAACATAGATCATACATAACATAAACCGAAGCCATAGAACCATTTTTGTGTTTATTCTTGTGATCAGTGAATGGAATTGAATGAAATTTTAAACCTAGACTAAGCACATGAATAGAAAATCATGGGGGGTGCTTGATACGATCTAAAACGTGCTCTACATTAAACTATTTAGCTCTAGATGTCTTAGACTAGGGTTAGGGTCTCACCTTGAGTTAATGGACTGTTTGGGCCATAAAAGGGATGGTTGAGCTTGTAGATTATCCATATATATTTCTTTTGTTGAACTCAAGGTTTGAAATGCCTTCAATTGACGGGTAGAAAGCTTGGAAGGGAAATAGTCTCAGTTCGCTAGAGATCTCATCGCCAGAGAGGTCTTGGCGGCGGGTATGGCTTAGAAAAAGTGGGGAAAGGTGGGGAGAGCTCTCACACAAATTCTCAGGGGCTAAGGATTCTTGGTGAGAGAGCAAAAGTAAAAGTCCCTCTAATGTTGCCCTAAGCCACCTATTTAAAGGCCTAAGCTCATGATCAACGGCCATGATCATCCGTTGGGCATATTAGGAGGGAGAGGGGCTGATTTAGACGGGATTTGCATGAAGAGAGGATTTAGAAAGGATTCAATGGTTTATATGCCATTTATTTGACTTAAATAGGTCAAAATTGACCAAGGGAGACTTGGGTTGACCAAGTTAAGGGTTGATCTGGTCAACCTAGCCAATTAGACCCAAAGGGGTGAGGGTTTGGGTCCAAGAAGCCATGGAATAGATTTGAATTTGATTTAGGCTCAAATGGGTCTAAATAGGTTAAGCTGGGTTGATCTAGTTAACCAGGTTGACCCAAGGCAGGGGTCTAGACCCAATGGGTTGGGTCTGACCCATTGGTTCCAGTGGAGGTGAGAATTGAGCTTGAGAAGGTCTAAAATTGATTTGAAACCAAGTAGAAGGGTTTAGGTCAATCTAGGTCAAACCATGTTGACCTGGTCAACCAGGTCGACTCAGGGCTTGGGTCTGGGCTCAACAGACTTGGTTTGACTCATGGAGTTGAATGGGGAAGGTCTTGGGGCCTAGCTTGGTCAATTTGACTAGGTCAAACACCTTGACCCAAGGATCTTGTGAAATCAAGGTCAACAATGCACTTGAAAGGTCTAGTGGTATAGTTCTATGTTCTAATGGTTATTTGTTTTATGATTGAAATGAATTGCATAATATTTTATATTATTATTGATTGAAATGCATATTGATTGACTTGAATACATGTGTGAAATAATGAGTTTATATTTTGATTAATGATTGATGTAATTAGTGATCAGTGATTTTGTTATATGTGTTAGTGGTCTATGGAGGGAAATATCGAGAACAACATCTTTTCAAGGTGAATAATTTATAATAATCTTAATTTAATTTTCCCTAAATTTCTTAAAAATTGTTTAGTTAAGCACCACTGCATTGGGTGGACAAAGTCATGGCATTGAGCTATCTAATTTTATGAAATTTGAGGGAGCATTGTGGTGCTGAGCTTGGAGCACTACGATGCTAAGCTCACTAGATTTTATGTTAGGGGGAGTGTTATGGTGCTGAGTTTAGAGTGTTGCGATGCTGGGTTAGAAAATTTATTATTTAATAAAAATATCAAAAAACATTACTCAAACCCTTAGTATCACTCTCCCTCCCCCCATTTTCATTCATTAGCCAAAGAGAATAGAGAGAGAAAAAAAGGAGAGAGAAGGAGAAAGGAGGTGAGAGAAAGTGAGGTTTGGGCTGACATTTTTAATCAGTCAAGTTGGGAAATATGTTCTAATTGTGTTGGGTAATCTTAGTCCTACCACTATTTTCATGGGTTTTGTTTTTTTGCTTATTTTCCTCTTTCTTAAAATTGATCAAATGTAATATTTCTTATTTTAATGACTTTCTATAGTGTAACTTTTGCGATATATATTATCAACCTAAATATTTGACTTGTTAATATTAATATTTCACCATGTAATTTTGTTTCTATACCATTTTAATTGAAATGATAAGTATAATGTTGAGTACAAAATGACTAGGAGCCAATATATTACATTTGTACATGAAATACACGATTGTATACACTTATTATTTATCTAGTCAAACATGCATTTTTAACATATTATAGGCATACTGATGAGTATAGTGGTAATTACATTGAGTGTATAATGATGTTTATTATTATAATTAATATAATGTGACATGTGTGTAAAGGCAAGAAAGGTGGGTTGAAAAGGATTGACTAATTCAAGTTGGCTAGAGATATATTATCCTATACAAGAAAGTAGGCAAAAGGAATTTCCTTTAAATACGATTTATGGTGTAGTTCTAAATGGTATGAAAAAGGAGGCATAAGGAGATTGACAAATTTAATATGATGTACTAACGGGTAGGAAGTGCTGACTTCTTACATTAAAGTCGCTTTACTTATGAGATGTGATATGAGACTAATTCCTAGCAATATGACTGATATAATTGAGACTGATTTATATGGGATTGGCCTATGGGATGTAATATAAAAAAAGTATCATAGGTAGTTAAATATTCTATTTTTCTTGTATATGCTTATGATTTGAGTATTCATGATAAATTACATAAGTAAACATGATATTATATGTATATGAAACAAGAAATGATTGATACATGCATATGATATAATTGATAAGATTAATATAAGGGCACATGATATATATAAACCATATATATGATATACTTGATTTATAATGCATGTGATATTGATATTATACAACATGCATACATATACTATATAAAACTACATATAAGGTTCATAAGATTAATAATACTGATACTTGATGCACTGCATTTAATAGTAATAATAATGTGCATCCCCATGATAGACATTTATATGATAGATGCGGAGTAAAGACTATCTAGTTAGTGATAAGGTGTATAGATATACACAAAATAATGTATAAGCTGGCTCATAACTGATGGGTATAGTAAATGACATAACGTATTGATTCTTGATGTGGCTACTATTCAGTGATCATGAGTTACATTGCTTACACTGATTTTCATTGCTTATATGAGATGACATTATTCACATTGACTCTTATATGCTTTTATAGTTATACATTTATACTAATATTTATTGAATGATTACATGTAGATCGCTTTCCATTGCCAGGCATTGATTGTAGTTATAGGTTATGGTAATCTACTGAGATGCCAGCTCACGCCGTGGTTTTTAAATATTTTTTTGTAAGGGGTCAGGATCCAGTAAAGTGAGATTGTAGGATCAAAGTTTTGTTTTATTTTATGTATTTTTGTTTATTCTTTTATATCCAAGAGTTAGAAAGATAAAATGATGTAATGATTGAACTATTGACTATTATATATGAATTTTGGAAAATGAATGAAATTATAAATTGAAGAAAGGGATTCATAGTTGCTTCCGCTTGTTTTGATTTATTGAAATGAGATTTAGCAGCCCCGATAGATTAATTAAAAGTTTAAATTAGACAGTTCTTTTAAATTTTGACTTAGGGCATTACAACAACTCACTTGACTTTGTAGTGCTCCCAAGAACTCAATTTTGTTCATCTAGACAGACAGTTTAGTGCCACGACTCTCTCATCCCAGTGACACAACACTCTTAGGGAAAGTTTTAGTTATTAGTTCTTTCCTAAAATTTCATAAGGCATAATCCTTAGAAGGTACACTCTTTACAAAAATTTTATAAGACATAAGTCTCATAAGATACATACTCTTTTAAAATACCTCAGAGGCATAAGAAATATAAGGATTAAGTTATTTCTTGAAAACCTCAAAAGAGATAAGCCTCATAAAATACATGTTCTTTTTTAAAAATTTTAAAAGAAAATAGTATCAAAAGGTATAAGTTCTCTTTAAAAAAAATCTTTAAGGCATTTATATTTCAATTATTTAAAAAAACTCAAAATGGATAAATCTCTGAAGGTACTCAATATTTATTGATATTAAGAACAAATAAATGTTGACTCTTATTGCATGTTTCTCTATTTATCATATATATATATATATATATATATATATATATATATATATAGAGAGAGAGAGAGAGAGAGAGAGAGAGAGAGAGAGATTCTTAATCTCAAAATTGTAATCTTTTTCAGTAGCAGATTAGGTTAAGAGTGATCAATTCAACACTTTGAAGTGGATGTTGCAACCATAATATATTATTGTTGATTTTGTTTTGCTATACTCTGAAATATTTATTATTTATGATTGTTGATTCAAAAATGAGACAGCGAAAAGCTTTGCTTCAGTTATATTGTAATAATCCCTTTGAAAAATTAATTACTTGCTAGATCACTTTTCAAGAGATATTATAAGCCAAATCAGTTGGTATTTTATCACTTTGATTGCTTTTAATCTCTAGTTTCGATTACTACTCACAATTTCTTAAATCTTATTTATATTTTAATTTATTGTGAAAGAAAGAAATACATAAAAGAAGTTGATACTTAAAAATTATTTGGTTTGTGTATTTATCTTAATCAAATGAATGCAAATCATATGCTCTTTAACTTGTTCAAGTGTTGTAAATACATTAAGAAAATAATGATAAAATAAATTTTAAAATACTATGGAGTTATTTGCAAGAGAAATAGCCAAGTTTACTCCACCTTATCTCAACTCAAACTCGACCAACTCAGTAAGGGACTACAATCCACTATTGTTGAGTAGAGCAAATGCTTTAATCAAATGCAACAAAAAAAACCCAAGTAAAATTGTAGTCTTCATTACTTTCAACAATTTCATAAGCTAAAATGAATATTAGCATCCTCATCATAAATAATGCAAGAAGCTTCTGCTAATAAAAGAGGTGGGGATGAAATAAGCCTATGCTATTGACTTAAATAAACCTCTTATTTAAGTATCTATGTTAGTTATGGGTCCCCTAAACCATTTCCTTGCACTTAAAATCCATGATAAGACTGTAATTAGCAGTAGGCCACCAACAGCTACAGGCGTGTAGTTGAAATTGTCCTTTGTGATTGGGTAAGCCACAGGAAGAGAGAAGAGGACAGTGATGGTCAACACCCATAGGACTGCAATCCAACCAGTAATTATTCCATAGCGGCCGAGGTTGAAAGGGCCAGGAATGAAAGATTTACGAGCCAATGTTATTCGAAAAAAGATTGGGAGAGCATAGGCGATATAGAGGCCAATGGTGGCTATAGACACCATTGCTTGGAATGCTACTACACTTCCTAGAGACTGCAACAGGAAAACAATTAACTAGAATAAGCAAGCAAAACCACAGTATTAGTATTCAGAGGACTTGTAGTCACGTTTTGAGAAAGGTTCAGAATTCAAAGGAAATAGAAATTAAAAACCTTTTGAGTAACAGTATCATTGAAAATAGAAGTTCATTACCGTAAGTGCCATGCAGAATGATATACACGCAGAAAGCCATACTGCATTTACAGGAACATCTTGCCGGTTAACCCTATGCCAAAATGAAGAAAAAGGCATTGCTCCATCTCTTGAAAATGCATAGGCCATTCTGTGTTTTAGTAAAAATAGTTAGTTAAAAGAGAGTTAATTCATCTAAGGGTATTAAAATCTAAGTTTCTAGAAGAATTTAAGTCATCCAGAAAACCTATAAAAGTACTTTGAGTTGAGTCAAATAGATCAATCGGCAGTGGCAAAAAAAGGAATGAAGGATGAAGATATAAAAAACCAAGCTCAAGTAGTAAGGATAAGTCTAATGTTAATTATGATGACGATGGAGCATATATATGTGAAAGGTAGAAATTTTTACCTTGAGTTGCTTGTCACTGAACTCATTCCGCAGAAGAATATGGCAATGGCAACAACACCCAAACAGATGATGCCCCCAACTCCACTGCCATATCTACTCTTAAAGACAAGATAGAACGCCTCAGCAATTGCATAACCTCCAGCATCATTGTGAAGGCTCAGAAGATAAGGGATATTTGTAACTGCAAATGTGATACCAATTAGGTAGCCCCAACCAACAATGATTGATATACCAATGGCACTAATTATTCCTTTTGGTCCATTTATGTCTGCACTTTTAGTTTCTTCAGTCTGAAGGAAAGTTCAAGATGCAGACTTAGTCAAATTAAATACAGTTCGTCATGACGCAAAAGTTCAAAGGCATCATAACATCTCGAAGCAGACAAACTTCTCGGTCATATAATGTAAAATCAACCATCTCTTACCTGCGACATTATTTATCAGCAGGTAATGGTGGGAATGCTCATCCAAAATTGGATACTTTAACAGTCATTTGGCAGGGAATAAGGTTGTACACAAGTTAAGAAAATGAAGTTGCATGTATTGTGTTAGGCCGACCCAATAGGGGCCGGCTGAACTGGTCCAACCTGGACTGGTTCTCTGCTACAGCAGGCGGCCCACGCCAGGTGGGGCGCGTAACCAAGGGGAGGATGCCCTAGTGAGCCCAATTGCTTAATGTAATCGCTGTTTAGGGGGAAAAAATTGAATTAAGGGCTGTTTAGTCTTTTACTAGGAGTCATTTGGCTTTAATTAGTCTTTTTTGTTAGAGTTTGCTTTTCATCTTGAATTTGAAGAATATTTGAGATCTAGGGTTTGTTCTTTTGGGCTCTAGGCTTTGCTAGAGATTTGGAGAGTTGTTTCTTCCTCTCGAATCGAAAAAACTTGTATCTTGTATTATTTTTCTTGTTTGTGGATTGCATAGAAGAAATTTTCATCGTGTTCCCTCTCCAATCTACTGAAATTCCTGCATAGTTTGGCTGATTTCTCTCTGAAATCAGTCTATTTCTCATTGTTTTCACCCATTATTAATAGGTTTGCTTGCGAATTTAAGTATTCCCCATTAGGGTTACTTGCGAACTCAAGTATTTTCTATCAAATTGGTATCAGAGCGTCGTCTAGGGACCATCGACGGCTGAAATTCTGAAATTTCAGCAAAGAAAGTTCATCCGGAAGAAGATCTTCTCGTAAATCTTAGGAAGAGTTATGGCCAGGAAGAAGGTTGAGGTTTTGGAAGGAGAAGTTGGGCAACTAAAATCAGATTTGGAGGAAAACTTTAATGATTTTAAAAAACAGACATTATCCAATAATGAAAGGACGGAAGGGAAGTTCGCCGTGATGGAAAAGATGTTGAAGAAATTTCTAGAAGTAAAGACCAATTTGACAGCATCAGAAGCAAGGGAAACCATTGGCGGCCATGGAAGAGGTGGAAACCCTAACATGTTTAGGGGAAGAGAAAATTCGAAAGTGGAGATCTTTGAGGGTGATGATGGAGTGTCTCTTCTAGAACCACTTTCTAGGGAGGAGATGAGCACTGGTTTCGAAAGAAGGGCTGCTGATTTTGTTGGGAGAAGGGAGGATTTCTACCGCAGAGGGGATGAATTTGAAAGAAGAAGAGGGAATTTGAAGAAGGGGTTGGGTATGATCGCTGAAGGGAAGAACGTGACAACTGGGGAGCACCTTCACTTTGCGGAATGGGAGGATATGGAGGATTCAGGGGCAACAGGGGTGACCCGAAGGTGAGGAAGCTGAAGAGGGCATCTTTGAGGGCTAGGATGACCATGATTGGATCTACAAGGTGGAATGATATTTCTCTGTCAACAGGTTGACGAAGGAAGAGAAGCTGATAGCGATAGGACTATGCTTGGAGAGGAAGACACTAGCATGGTACCAATGACGTGACATGAGGCAACCCATCAGGAGCTGGAGGGAATTCTAAGAGTGCTTACTAGAATATTTTCAAACCAGTAGGGGAGGAGACTTCTATGAGCAATTCTTTGCCTTGACATAGGAGGGGACTATGGTAGATTACCGTGACAGGTTCGAGTACTTGGCCGGCAGATTAGACTGGCTCTCTGAGATAGTGCTGGAGGGGAACTTTATGAAAGGGCTTAAATAGAAGATATGGGCAGCATTGAGGGTGATGTGGCAAAGAGATCTGGGGGAGGCCATGAAGCTAGTCCAGTTGGTGGAGGATCAGAAGCAATTGGAGAGAGGAGTTAGGGGGAGCAACTCGGGGGGATCGTACAGGATGACCACCACTCTCTTAGATCACAAGGGGCCAGCGCGAGGGAGTCTGAAGGAAGTGCCCAATGAGAGAGGAGGAAGAGGAAATGGGAGATATTTCAAAAGGCTGACAGAGAAGGAGATATAGGAGAAGAAAGAAAAAGGGTTGTGTTTTAAATGTGATGAGAAGTACATACCGTGGTATAGGTATAAGGACCAAACCCTTCAGGTTCTCACCGTCTATGATGACGAGGAAGCTGAAGAGAAAGGTGGGAGTGGGTTAGAGATGAAGGAAGAGGGGAAGTTTCATCTTGATGTAACAGAAGTCTCTATAAACTTAATAGTGGGATTCACTCTGAATCACACTATGAAAATGAAGGGAGAGATAATTGATAAGAGGTGGTAGTATTAATAGATAGTGGAGCAACCCACAATTTTATCTCCACCAAGATTGTGGATCTGCTAGGGGTGAAATTAGTGGATACAGGAGGCTATGGGGTGATAATGAGCACGAGAAAGTTGGAAATGGGTAGAGGAGTTCGTAGAGGAGTGGTGTCGACCATTCAGTGGATTCAGGTTAGGGAGGACTTTCTTCCCTTGGAGTTAGGGAGTACTGATGTCATCTTGGGGATGAAATGGCTGCAGGCCTTGGGGGAGACCAAGGTCAATTGGGGAGCATTGAGGATGGAACTGGTGGTGGGAGGAAGGAGGATGGTGATCCAAGGCGATGTAAGGTTGTCCAGGGCTGCATTATCTCTCAAATCCATGATCAGAATCATACAGGAGGTGGGAGGCGGATATTTAGTGGAATTGCAATGCTTGGAGAGGGGTTAGTGTAGGGGAAGGGGGAGACATTCCTCTTGCAGTACAACCACTCATACAACAGTTAAGTGAGGTGTTTTAGCCACCTCAAGGTTTACCACCACATAGAGAGCAGAAGCATGCAATCCTTTTGAAAGAGGAGGTGTCATTGATTAGTGTGCGGCCCTACTGCTACCCCAAAATTCAAAAGGATGAGATTGAGAAGCTGATGAGGGAGAAGTTGGAAGCGGGGATCATCAGACCAAGTATGAGCCCTTTCTCTAGTCCAGTCTTACTGGTCAAAAAGAAGGATAGGAGCTGGAGGATTTGTGTGAATTACAAGGCGTTGAATAAGGAGACTGTGCCAGATAAATTCCCCATCCTAGTGATCGATGAACTACTAGATGAGCTGTATGGGGGGGTAGTAGTGTTTTCTAAGATGGACTTGAACTTGGGCTGCCATCAAATCAGGATGGTGGATATTCATAGCACGGCTTTCAGGATGAACGAGGGGCACTACGAGTTCTTGTTAATGCCATTTGGGCTCACAAACGCCCTGCTACTTTCCATTCTTTAATGAACATGGTATTCCGGCAGTAACTCAAGAAGTTTGTGCTGGTATTTTTTGATAACATTCCGGTGTACAACAAGACGGAGGAGGAGCATCTGGAGCACTTGAAGATGGTTATGTGAGTTTAATAGAAGCATCAACTGAGGGCCAATCTAAAGAAGTGTAACTTCACCCAGTCTAGTGTGGAGTACTTGAAAGATGTAGTTTCCTAGGAGAGCGTGGCAGCCGATCAAACAAAAATTGAAGCAATGCATAAATGGCATATGCCTAGAAACATAAGGGAAATGAGGGGTTTTCTAGGACTGACGGGTTACTACAGAAGATTTGTGAGGGGGTACAGTACCATAGCTTGGAAATTGACTGAGCAACTAAAGGACAACTTTTTGTTGGGAGAGGAAGCAACTCAGGATTTTGAGGGATTGAAGAAAGCCATAACTACAATTCAAGTTATAACTCTTCCAGACTTTAGCTAGATCTTTGTAGTAGAGACCGATGCATACGGATATGGGTTGGGAGCAATGCTGATTCGAAATCACAGGCTTATAGCATACTTCAGTCAAGTGTTGTCAACCAGGGCTAGATTTCGGTGTATAAGAGAGAGCTGATAGCCATTGTTATGGATATTCAGAAGTGGGGCCCTTACCTTTTGGGAAGGCATTTCATCGTCCGGATGGATCAGAGGAGCTTGAAGTACCTGTTGGTGCAAAGGATGGTGATCAAGGAGTATCAGTGATGGTTGTCCAAACTATTAGGCTATAATTTTGAAATCCAGTATAGGCTTGGTTTGGAAAATAAAGCGGCTGATGCCTTATCCAGATGTGTTAGGGAACTTCAAAAGTTGGCTATTTCAGTACCACTGATGATAGACTGGGGGATATCAAGAAAGAAAATATGCATGATAAAGAGTTGAGAAGGACCAGGAACGATTTGATTAAAGATAATAGTAGCCATCCTAGTTACTATATTGAGGGGGGAGACTTTTGCATCAAGAGAGGTTTGTGATGCCTCAAACTTCCATAAATATTTCTCACTTGTTACAGGAGTTCCACGACAGTGCAGTGGAGGTCATTCAAGAGAACATAACACCTATAGAAGGCTGGCATCGGAGCTTTACTAGAAGGGGATGTATAAATATGTTGAGCAGATGGTGGCAAAGTGTGAAGTGTGCCAGAGAAATAAATATATGGCCATGGCTCTAAGAGGACTACTACAACCCTTGGAAATTCCAAACAGTCTGGGAGGAAGTGTCCATAGATTTCATAGACGGCCTACCACGATCAGAAGTATTCATAGTTATCATGGTGGTGGTTGACAAACTAAGTATGCACTATTCATCCTTTTACGACATCCCTACACCGCAGTGATAGTGACAGCAGCATTCATCAGAGAAGTGGTTCGACTGCATGGGATTCCTGAGTCAATTGTGTCTAATCAAGACAAAGTTTTTCTCAGTCATTTTTGGAGGGAATTGTTCAAGTTGCAGGGCACTATTCTTAAGATAAGCACCTCCTATCATTCATAGACAGATGGTCAAATAGAGGTGGTGAACCGAAACTTGGATACTTATTTGAGGTGTTTTGTTTCTGAAAAGCCACGGATGTGGGATAAATGGTTAGCATGGACTGAGTAAATACCTCATACCATTCTGCATCTCAGATGACTCCTTTTAAAATACTGTATGGAAGAGACCCCTCAC